ATAGAGAAGGAAGCTGAGATGTTATCTCCCACGTTAGAACCGGTTAGACAGTGGTATTAAATAGAAATAAAGGGCATTTAAAGTTCAATATTTCACCAAATGTTATTATTCTTGCCTCCAAATGGCACTAATAGAGTGCAGGATGATTGGTGTGAGAAACACGCTACCCACATACAGGCGCTCACACTCATCAGATGTCTGGCTCGGTCCAGAGCGGGAATTATATTTGAGGATTTCAGTGTGAATAAAATGATTCTCAGCTTCCGTAAAATGTGATATTTGTACTAATTAGATGCCATGTGTACACACAAAGATTGAGCTTCACTCATATGTGAAAACTCTCAGAAAGCCATTCAGAAATATTTATGATACAAACCAGTGGACAGCAATGAAACCTTTCCTGACACAGACTCTCATTACCAGGTTAAATAGTGTGACTAAAGGAATTGTCTGCATCATACTGATGGGGAAATACGTATAAGGATACTGTAAATACTTACATTGCACAGACATCGTATGGCAACATATACTGTATAATCTAATGCAGTGCAATAAAGCAGTCCTGCAATAAATGTATCTTATTTTGTCCATCCTGTTTTAATCAGAGGGTAAAAAAGAGAAACACAGATGAATCGACACCTCTTACAAAACCTGAACATTGCACCTGCCAACTGAGGGTATATATTAACAAGTAGTGAGAAACAAAAGTTAAAACCAGTGTCAGGATGAGTCACAGTTTCACCAACTGCTGTCAGAATAACAGTTAAGCTAGGCACACACAAATAGACTTTTACACTGACCCATGACTTAATAGTGTCATTTCACACACATACAGTATGAGCTCTATAAAGTCAAAGGAAAAGGAGAAAATGAGACAAAATGCTGTGAAGAGAAAGACAAATGCCCAAAATCTCTCACCACAGTCAAGATACCGTACAACACACAGTCAGTTGTGTGTGCTTCTTGTGTCCTTAATTTGGATTTTTTAGCAGGAAAAGAATTTGCAGCAAGCTTGAAAACCTAGTAAACCAGCATAAGTGGGTGATGTTAGACATCTGTCAGGTCCGATAGTCAACTTAGCTTGCATCTTTTTTAGTTTTATTTTTCTTGTGGAGGGTTATGAAAATCATTTGTCACACAATACAGATTTTATTACAGCATGATGGTAAGTATTTTTTAACTCATGAAGGTGTTGTGGGATTTGTATGCGCTTTATGTGACTTCAATAAAAGTGATTATCATCATCATTAAGCCTTCTTTGGAAAAAACAAAGGGACGGCTGCGGCTCAGGAGGAAGAGCAGTTGTCCCTCGACCAGAAAGTTGGCGGTTTGATTGCTGTCCTCCCCAGTCCACATGTCAGAGTTTCCCTGGCTAAGACATTCAACCCTAAGTTGCTTCCGATGGCCAGAGCAGCACCTGGCAGAAACAGCACTGCCATCGGTGTGTGTGTGTGTGTGTGTGAGTTAGCACTTCAGATGGCTGTCTTGGTTCTGTCCCAGAGACATATTCTTTGTATGTGCAACATACTTGGCCAATAAAAGTGATCAGCTTTCTTGGATAATCGGTTTCAGTAGCTGCTGGTGTCTGTTCTCTGCTGCTATCATATGCCCTAGTGGACAGGATGACTCTCTCTCTGTTTTGTTGTCAGCTGACTTCCTCCTCCTCTTCCTCCTCCTGACTCCTCCTGTGATCCTTATATATCTTATTACTGTCTTGTTACTACACATTGTCTTTCAGCTGTGGTCTGTTTAGAGATGAGAGTGAGTGGTCGGTGGGAGATGGGCTCAGCCAGCTCCCAGGGGAGCAATTAGCCTCTGCCATCGTGGCCGCTTTGATGAGCTGCCCAGGCAGAGTCTGAAGTGTAGACAGTGAGGGGTAAAGTGTGTCAAGATGCCACTGTTGACAGATATGAACCAATGGAAAGTAGCACAACAAAGCTAGTTGTCTTCATACTGTAGATTGGAAGCTCTTCAATTAATTTAATTCTTACTTTACCTAGTTATAAACTGCACTTTCTTCCGTTCTCCATCCTGTCTGTTAAAGTCTTTGCTTCTTTTAATATATCATTTATGACAGGTTGTAACAGTTCTTTTAAATGCCCTTAGTCACTATGACAAATTTGATAGCAGTGGGTACAACTACATAATTAGATTTTTGCCTTTAGGAATGCACTCTGAAGCCACAGCAGCTATATTAACAGGTCACCTCCAATTTTGCCTGATGGTGACACAAACAGCACTGATGCAAATCTGCGAACAGGTGTTTTGAAAAGTCATTTATCTACTTTTGATTTTATCCAGGAAAGTGAGGTTGACATCTTTTTCTGTCAAATCCACTTGTACTATATGTTGCAGCTAAAAGACTCAACAAATCATTAAACCATTGTCCTGAAAACTGCCCGGTTTTCCAAAGATGTCAGTATTTAAATGTAATGATGCTCAGCTTTATAGATAAAGACATCAGAAACATCAGTAAAGTGAAAAGGGCAGCCAAATCAATTTTAATCAACCAAACAAAGATTGCATTTGTTTTCCTGGGTGCTATGATAAAATGGATTGTTTCTTGATGTTTCAATATAATAAAAAATATTTAATAATAGAAAATCAAATTATTGTTTGACAAGAAAACTGGTTAAATATCATACATATCTTGGTCTGAAGATAATGGCTAGTGATCATTTTAGCAATGAAGTGACAGCTCATTTTGTCTATGACATGTGAAATAACTCACTGTGTCACAGGACTCTATAGAGCCCAAAGTAAAATTTAAAAATTGCTTAATTTGTTTGAAGTACAGTCAAAAACCACTAAAAGGTATTTTGTTAACAGTTGTATGTAACAAAAACAAATGTCTGTATATGTGAATGTGATTTTATAATATACTGTAAGATAAATAGCGCAGATTGTAAATTGATCAAAAATGTCTCTTTAGTTCAACTTACTGACTAAACATTTCAGTAGTGTTTCCATTAAGACCTTTGGCTGCTGTGAGTGAAGTGTTGGTCAGCTTTGTGTCATTGTCCAAGAGCCTCTTAATGCGCTCAGTCGCCGCAGATGGAGGATGATTAGAGGCCAGTAGGAGGTGTTGCACAAGAGATTGATCCTGCTGACATGATGAGCATTTTCTTCATAGCATTCTTTCTTTAAATGCTGTTGGTAATTGATGCTGTGGGAAAATTGGTTAGATAAAATATTTAAAACTACAATACTCAAGTTCTGGAAATCACGCTAGCACTAGCATATGACTCTGCCACCAGGATTTTCAATGAGTCTTTGAAGTTGAAAGTCTTGTACATGTATATCCTCACCCTGTGTCTCATACTGAATCCTTCATGTTTCCATATATATATGTATTATATATATATACGTGTGTGTGTGTGTGTGTGTGTGTGTGTGTTCTCTGCAGTGATAAAGAAATTTCCCAACTGTGTGAAAGGAAAGTGTTGTTTATAGCACTATCACCGCTGCTGTTGTTCATTTCATATTGAGATTGTTGCAGCACAGAGTGCGGCATGCTGAGAGTTTAAATCAGTATCTCAGTGGATAGACAGCAGCTCTCAAGAA